GAGACGCGTACCGCGGCAAGGAGACGGCAATGTTGCGCGCCGCGCGGGTGGAGGCGCCCACCGCCGTACCTCACGCGTCCTCACGTTCCCCTCGCACCGCGGCAGTGCCGGCCAATCGCGCGGCTTGCCTTCCGATCGGACGCGCCGACAGGCGCCGCCCCCGGAGACCGCCTCATAACCGCCTCTCTCACTCCCGCGGACTCCCGCGAGACCGCGCGTCTCGCTTTGTTCGCCGTCCGAGAAGGAGAGAATTCTCTCTCTCGCGGCATCGGCCCCGGCGAGGCCCACCGATCGGCCTCCCGAAACGGCGATCCGCTGATGATGATGAGAGGAGGCCGCGCTTTGCTGATGGCGGAGGTGGTGGTGGTGGTTGTTCTGTCGTTATACTAGTATCGCCGAGCGGAGGTGGAGAGCACGGCGACGTCGACGGCGACGACGACGACGATGACGGGGACGGTGCTCTCTCTTTTCGCAGGTATCGCGTACGAATCAATGCATTCTAGGAAAGAATCGTGCGACCTGTACCCTACGAAAGTAGGTTGTACCTATGCGAGCGGTGAGATTTAAACGAGTGGGTAACGGGAAGATATTTTTTGAGAGCGCGATCGATGGAGACGCCGACGATCCGGGAGGTACGCGATATCTGGGGTGATTCCAGGCTTTCTTCGAGATAAATAGCAAACGATTGTCGACGAAATTGTCGACCGTTTCTTTCGCCGAGCGTTAAGAATGAGAAGTAGGGAGCTGATTTTTACATCTTTCGCACGTCTTTCGATTGAAATCCGACACTGAAGCGGACGGCGTCGAGTAGACTCGATCCCTTCACAGAGACGTGTGGAGATGCAAAAAAGTATGTAGCGTTCAGTTTGCCAACGCCGTGAAAAAAAGTTGGGTAAATTTGTTCTTTTACAGCTGGTGTAAGTGAGTTCAACGAACGCTGGCGGCAGCGGCGTAAAGAGACTTGTACAGACGCGGACGGCGTTTTTGAGTTTCTCGTCTCTCGCACATTAAGTGCAAGGATCTTATTGCACCTGCGCACAATAACGATTGTCCTGATAGCGGCGAGACGAACGGCGAGTGGAAACGTGCGCTCTAACCGTATCTTCTAAATGAGTCTGGGTGCACCGCATTACGCAGGTCGATTACTCGCGGCATTTCTTCTTCTCGGGAACAGCTGTAATAAATTAGCGCCGCGAGTTGACGAATGAGTGATATTTTACGCCGAGGCTAGGGTGTATTTCTCAAGAGCCCGGGCACGTGTGAAATGTATCGTTCGAGCACGCGTATCCACGACAATTTCAGAATCGCCAATTCGACGGGATAAAAATTAACAGCAGACACTCGTGAGACGAGCGACGGGTACGCGAGCGAGCTTTTTCGGCGTGCGATAATGAATATTTTTTAAGGCAGCGCGAGAAGATATGTTCTCCCATCTCTGAATTATTCCCGAAATAAGAAAGAATCGCGAACGTCTTTTCGATGCACCAAGTTTGGGGAGTTTCCCAGAATAGACATCTATAGTTGCAAAGATAGATGGCTGTAATAGAAACTGCATTAAAATATTTACTCACTACAGCAACGTTCCAAAGTAGAAGTACGTACAGTAGCGATCTTAAACGGCTATCTTCGCCGACTGTTGAAATATGCTCCTCTAGTAATATCGCTCTGAAGAAATCGCGGCGGGTAGACTATCCATTCCCCCTATTTATTCTGGTATCGGGTTATTCGCCGGCGAGAGTAGTCCGGTAGATTATTATTCATCGTGTTAGCGACAATCTCGCGAGCCGCACCCCAAAGAGTTCTCTGCCCATTTTTCCCGGCGGGGCGGCACGTGGCAGGGCAATTGGGGGATGCAAAGAGCAGACGATCATTCAGCGTCGGTTTTACCGTGTTCTGGCTGTGTCCCGGAGACCGGCAAGACGGTATTGACGATCGAATTTGGGCAGTCGTGCCTCGATAACGGAGTTATGAGCGCGACGTCGACGGTGCCGGCCGGGAAAGATGGCGGTCTTAATTGAATTAAGGCTACAAAGAGAGACGGTCCTCCGCGCTCGACCCTTACGAGACCCGCCGGCCGGACTCCCTTAACTGGCTATTAACTCGAATTTTGGTAATAGTAAGCGTTACGTTAGGGGCGGTCGGCCGTACGTACGTCTAAAAATCCCCGCCTAATTTCGTGACGAATCCGCGAAATTTCATGCCGGACCGGAACCACGTTCTCTAAGACTTGTGTGATAATTCAACTCAGTATGTTTAACCAATCGGAATTCTTCAATGTCGCCAGCGGTAATTAACAATGTCAGTGTTTTTCTTGACCCTACCTGGCGTCTTTAATAATACACAAAATTTATTGCGAAATCCTGGCTGAGGTAATATTTTTCGCAATGAATTTTCTGTATTATTGAAGATGCCAGGTATGGTCAAGGAAACATTGACGTTGTTAATATATTTAATTAGAAATTGACATTATTTATGGTACATTCTGAAAAGATTAGTTGCAGAAAAGAGCTTCCCGTTCGTTGAATATTTGCTACATTATACACTGAGAGACCCATTTTGTCGGATAAAACGAAATAATTTGATTGAATCATTTTGTTGACTGAACACGTAATTTGGTTGTATAAAATGAAAAATAGTTGCTGAAAAGAAGTCAAATGTTACAACAACTAAATATTTTGTTTCCACGAGTTGTTTATTTGAATAAAATTTTATGGTCGAGATAATATAACTTTGTCCATCTCAAAGTACGGTATTCCGCCACTAGATGGCCGCCGAATTCGTAAGTGAGATTACGATAGCACGTCACGGGCCGGGACGGTTCTTTCGCGACAGCGGAATAAGCGAAACTGCAGTTTGTTGAATATGTTGCTGAAAAGTAGTTAAATGTTACAACTATTTTGTTTCCATGAGTTGTTTATTCGAACAAAATTTTATGGTTGAGATAACAAATTCTGCGTATGTTCACTTAACCAAATTTTTCAACTAAATTTTGTTGTATCAACTGAGAGATTTGTTTGCTCATATCCGAACAAGAAATTCAGTTGAGTCAACTTTTGTTTCATTCAACAAAATGGGTCTCTCAGTGCACTCGATTCAAAAAGGGAAGCGATGATAGAATCGCGCGAGGAAGAATTAATGAAAAATTTTGCCTTTAGTGCAGGTAATGCGCTGGCTATTATTATAGCAGTGATACTAAAAATAAAAATTCGCAAACAGATACGATCTCGTTAGAAGCATAAATGGGGAAATTCGTTTTTCTCGATATATAGATTTACCGGCGTACTGCGGATTCGTCGTAAAGAATGCAGAGTAGTCTCTAACTCGATTTCAGTCCCCGCTCGAAACCGGCCGCCCCTCACCCCGCGGCGTCCCCTTG